CGACAGCATCGGCTCGGCTGTCGATGTCTGGTCGGAGGCGCGCCTGAACCTCATGCACATGGTGCAGCTCCTGGTGCCTGGGGCGTCGTTCATGGGCGCGTACTGCGGCTGGCAGCACTTCAAGAAGCAGCAGAGAGTGGCGGCGCAGGCGGCCCTTGGGCTCTGCTGGGCGGCGCCCTCTGTGGAGGAGGAGGAGGAGGAGGAGGAGGAGGAGGAGGAGGAGGAGGAGGAGGAGGAGGACCAGAGCACATCCAAGATGCATCAAGGATGCAACAGCACAGTCGACCCGCAGAGTAAGGATGGGCGCAACCTTCCGAAGGTTACCTTTGCATCCTTGCCTCATCGGCTCATCCTGGGCCACCTTCGTTGGCCGCGCCCCGCTCGAGAAGCTTCGAAATGGGCGTCCAAGGCCCTTGCATCCTTACTGCGCATCCTTGTGATACGGGCCGACTGTGCATCCAAGATGCATCAAGGATGCAACAGCCCCCGAGTCATCGCATGCCTGGAGGAGGAGGAGGAGGAGGAGGAGGAGGAGGAGGAGGAGGAGGAGGAGGGAGGGGGAGGGAGGAGGGGGGAAGGAGGAGGGAGGGAGGAAGGATGAGGGAGGAGGGAGGAGGGAGGAGGGAGGAGGGAGGAGGGGACACCAGGGAAGCCCACGAGAGTCCCCTCTTCACACTTCGCCGCTGCGGGAAGCTCGGCCAGCGTGCGGCGCCGCCCCCGTGGGGCGACGGAGGGCCCCTGGGTGTGCAGCGCCGTCAGCGGCGTGCTGCGCCCGCGGCCAGGAGAGGAGACGTCAGAGGGGCTCTTTAGGCCGCGGGGCCCCAGCCAGGGCCTTGGTATCGCCCAGACGTGTGCACTTTTTCTCGGCGGGGATTCTTCATGAGCATCCTGGATCATCCTGCGAAAAACCCACGCACGAAACCGAAACAAGCACAGGGAATGGACGTCCGAGCGATGGCCAGGGGCTCGTTTCGATGCAGCCGATTCGATCTCGCAGGATTCCGATTCCGATTTGATTCGACTCTGGATTCCGATTCGGGCTCCGATCTCTTATTGGGCGCACACTAGACTGCCGACTCCCGCTGATTGGACTTTTCCCGACTCGGCTGCCGATTTCCGCCGATCCGATTCATGTCGACTTCCAATCCGACTTGTCGATTCGATTCTGGTCTCTCCTGCAAGCACAATGTTTTGTTCGTGCATTGTTTTGTTGCTCATCGCGCATGGAGCTTTTTCGTGACCGCCACACCGCAGCCACTGTTGATACGATCGCCGCAGCGGTCTCCCCCCTCGTTGTTTCTTTTTTCCTCTTCTCTCTCCCCCCACTCTCCTCGTCCTCCGGCTTGGCTCCGACGGACAAGGAGGACAAGGGAGAAAGGCGAGGAGGGACCGGAGGAAGAGGAGGAGGAGGAGGAGGCGGAGAAAGAAGAGGAGGAGGAGGTGGAACAGGAGGAAGAGGAGGAAAAGGAGGAGGAAGATGAGGATGATGAGAGGGAGGAAGGGGCGACGGACCACTACGACGACGATGAGGTTGATGGCGGCGGCTGTTGCCTCGGCGGCGGCGCGCGCGCGCGCTCCTCGGCGCACGCGGCCCGTCGCAGCTCTGGGCCCAGAGAGGCCACGCGAGAGGTGGTCTGGCAAGTTCCGCCTGCGACGTCCTCGCAAGTCTAGGCCCCGAAATGCTGTCCAGCCACTCCTGCCTGAGGCATTATTCGCTTGTTTGGCTTCGAGAAGACGCGCACGAGGTTGTCCAGCCGGTTTTGCTTGAACTATCCTCGTAATTCAGATATGCCATGACTTGACTTGTCCTTGCAACTACGGGCTCAGAGATGCCGCGCGCGTCGTTTTCATACCAGTGTCGCTTGAGACGTCCTCGCTATTCTGGGCTCCAATATGCCCTGACCCGTTCGTGGTGCGGACCGTTGACTTTGGAATATCGCCAGATGCCGCGCGAGAGCTGGTGTGGCCAGTTTCGCTTGAGACATGCTCGCAGTTCTTGGCTCAGAGATGGTGCGTGCGAGGTGCTCCAGCCAGTTTCGCCTGAGGTATCCTCGCACCTCTGGGCTCTTATGCTCTGACATGCGGTGGTCCAGCCAGGTTCGTCTGCGACATGCCGCGCACGATGTTATCCAGCCCACTTCTCCTGAGATATCCTCGCAATTCTGGGCTCAGAGATGCCACTCGAGAGGTTGCCTGGCCAGCTTCGCCTGCGACGAGGTCGCAACTCTAGGCTCCGAGATGCCGCGTACAAGGTTGTCCAGTTAGTTTCGCCTGAAACATCCTCGCAACTCTGGGCTCCGAGATGCCGCGCAGGAGGTTGTCCAGGCAGTTTTGCATGAGACATCCTCGCAACTTCCTGGGCTCCGATCTGGTCTGAGCTGAGGTGGCCCAGCAAGTTACGCATGAGCATTCCTCCAGATTTGGGGCTCAAGGCTGCCGCGCACAAAGTTGTCTGGCAAAATTTGCCTGAGACATCCTCGCAACTCTGGGCTCAGAGGTG